AAGGGTTGCTGAACAGGTCTCATTAAAATTATTGTTGGGATATTTTAAACTAACCTTCTAAACAAGGTAAATATGTCAGACATGACTAAATGCCAAAGGCGCATGGAACACTGCTACCTTGCCACCAAAGGTAGTTCCTATTTTTCTACTTGCATTTTTACATGCTTTAGAATTGCTATGTTGGCAGAAGCTGGGACAAGTTACGGGAGCTCACTCTGTTATGCAGCGCTAGGGATTTGAACCGCCGAACTACTGGCCTTTCTGATCGACAAGCTCAGTGTCTTAGCTACTGAGCCACCGCATTCCCTGCCATGAATATACAGTGCTAATTGTAACAGAATTTGGTTTCCATTTAATCCTGTCTATCCAGTTATTTTTATTGTAAAGTTGTTATAAAACATACATTCTGTCTCCCAGAATAGTGCACATAAACATGAGTAAGACACAATTCACTACCCATTTTGCATGCTGGTATGACAAAGTTCTCCTTATTAATATATACAACCATTGTATTTTGCTCATTCCAAAGTAATATTCTTGTTCCTGAACTACCAGGATTGGCCTGGAGAAAATGTATGTGGTCCCTAAGAGTTGATACCATCTTGATGGCATATAATCAGTTAATCAAGTCATCCAGAGCCAAGACTGACTTAAGAGGTTTTTTTTTTTTTACATATAAGGTTTTTAGATTTATTTAGTTCTTGGTTGAATGTATTTAAACAGGCTCTGATCTTGGTAACCATTCATTTGCGTCCATCCAGTGCCCACCTTTTAGTCATCTTATAACAATTTCATACCTTAAGATACTTCACAAGGTCAGCTCCTAAAGCTTGAGCACCAGACATAGTTTTTTGACAGTAATGGAAGAAATTGTTTAAATGCTGGTCCTAGTAAAAAAAAAAAGAGTAAACTATTTATATGATATCACTACTTCCATTTAAAAATGCCAATATAGATAAAGGGGGGGGGGACATTTTGACTTTCAAGAACTCAACAAAATTGAAAAGCTAAAGGAATTTGTCCTTCCCTGTTGAGTTCTCATACAACATGTAATAATACAGCTTTATTAATTTCAATTATGTAGCACTTATTGCTCGTGAGCTTTCATAATTATTGTACAAAATACTTGGAAGTGTTCATTTTTCTAGTATTTCAAACACCAAAAATGTTAAAATATGCAAGCAAACACCAATTCCTCGCATTGGATTTTCAATAAGCATATAATACTGTAACTACAAGTGGGATCTCTGAAATGTACATTAGACTTTTCTATTTCTATCTATTCATTACTTGGTAAATACTGTATATGATCTCATTCCAAAGGTTTGCACCAATTCAAAAATTTGGCTCAAATTTCCTTGGTATTGCTATTCCATAGATTTCAAAGATTTTTATGCCTGTAATTCATTATTTTACTTCATGAAGGCTGTGTATAATTAAGATTTAATACTAATAGTAAGCATCCTCTTGTCTATAACCTGCAATGAGTTCCTCCCTCCAACATACCAAATTGATACTTGCTTGAAATCTCATGTTTTCAGGGTGCAAGAAAGAATCGTGATGCCTAGAGCAAAACATGGTCTCTTGGTTCTGTCTTTGTATTTTTTACTTGTACAAAGTCCCACTACATAAAACTCATAATTTTAATTTTGAAATGTTAGTGTTGGACAGATTTGTTTATCCCATGACCTTTCCCCCAGAAAGTCAGAGTATTGTTCTCATCTTGTGCTAATCTAAAACCCAGCACAAAGACAGGAAAATCTGTTATATATTCTTTCCAACTCTACGCTTGGACAGTTTTAGTCTAGTTGGAGTCCTGTCATTTACAGAGAGAAAGCTAAATGAGTTTACTTCCCTTTCCTACACTTAGGCAAAGACACATGCATTTTCTTCTGCCTTTTGTTCTCTGGTTCATTGCTATACTAAGATGGGCAAGCAAGATAATCAAAACTTGATTGTGTCATATAATTATAGAATTATAAAAATATATGTTATTTTTCAGATGAAATAAAATCAACAGCTTTCCTAAAAAGTGACAGTGTAATTAATACCAACCTGTGTATATACAGTGGAAACTGGGTGAGTTGAAATTGTCAACAGTGGTTTGCCTCCATCTACCCATTTAATCTCAGGGCCGGAATGCTGATATAAAAATAAAAGTTGGTTATTTAATGTATTAAATACAAACCAGCTTTATCTAACAGCTAAAAAAAACAAATAGGATAGATATTATCTTGGGTTTTTTACTTTGCTCATGCCTGATTCTTGAATGTTAAGATATCCACTTGGAAGATAAGCAGATACTGGTATATGTTGTTCATTTGTCACCACTCTGCCATCTTTTAATAACTGAAGCCAGGAATATCCAACTAGAAGAAATGTAAAGACAAATTATATCTTTGCTGTATTCTCTAGTAAGTGTTTATGCTTAATTTTAGCTAAATATACCTATAAAAAACAAGAGAATCAAACCTTGTGTTTCAATTATGTCCTTCTTCTTGGTGGTCCCTTTACTTGAACTGTCACAACTAACGTGATAGAAGGTAAACAATAAATGGTGTTTTTCATGCAGCTGTGTGGGTAATTCTATTTTTACCTAACAAGAAATAAAATGCAAGTTTTGGTTTGGAAAGTGTCTTCTAGCAGTAGTATATACAAGTTTTATAATGTACAACACGTAAGCATATATATATTTATGACTGGACACATTTAAGAGATTTTGTATTAACCTATAAGACCTTAAGCAATGAGGGACCAGCATACTGCCAAGCAAGCCTAGTTCCTACTGTGACCAATTCAAGATTATTTGATTGCAACACATTTCATCAATACTTATTTGCGGTGAAGAAGGAAGAGAACCAGGGGTTGACTGCTGGGGGTTCGCAGTGGTTCGGGAGAAACTCTAGCTAATATTCTGTTCAGTTTGGAGAACTCCTGGATGGCCCCACCCAACCCCCACCGCCCCTCCCAGGAGTCCCTATGCAGCCTGTTTTGGATGAAGGTAAGTGCAAGGAACATGCAGAGGCTCGAGGAGGGCAAAAAACGAGCCTACTGGAAGTTCGAGAAGGCCGGAAATGGACTTCCCAGAGACTGGGAAGACCATTTTCACCCTCATGGAGGCTTGAGGAAAGCCTCCAGATCCCAGGGAGGGCAAACCTCCCCCCCCCCGTGGTGCAAGAGGCCAACTAGGCCACGCCCACCATGGCCATGCCCACCCAGCAACTGGGCAGAGAACCCCTTGCTAAAATTGTTGAAGCCCACCCCTAAAGAGAACACTCTCTGTCATGGCATTTTAAAAAGATAACATAATAATCACTTAGAGTTAAACTAACACAATCTTATTTCAATGTGTGTTCTTGTACAACATTTTTTTTAATAAGGTTGACATGTGATTTTTCATCATTCTACTACTATATTACTGGTGGTTGCTGTTCTTTTCTGTTTTGTGAATTTGACTGGCTGGAGAACAAACTTCAAATAGCAATTCTTCCTACAAGAATCATAGTGCTGCTAAGATGGAAATTAGACGAAGAGAACTGAAATACTGGTGAGTTTACAAAAATGAATAAAATGTACATTTTACATTTAAAAAAATAAGAGTCGAATGCAATTACATGCATTTCCCCATTAATTATCATCTGATCTGTTGCTACTCTTTGTATTTTTTTTCTTTCTGTACATGCTCACTATTTTCTTTTCTTTTTGTAAAGAAAAAAATAGTTTTCCAGCATAACATTTTCCTTAAAAAAGCACCTAATCCCAAAAAGATCTTGCATATTTATTGCACATAATCTTACAGAGTTGTTGTCACTGGGTCACTATATAGGTAGAAACTGAGGGGAGACAGTAGACAGACTTACAGTATCTGCCTCCCTCTGAATAAAAATGCTTGGCATGCTGCAAAGCAACTTCTTCCCTCTTATCCCACTGCATTTCTGGAGATTTGGAGATTTTTGGAGAAAGGAAAGAAGACAAAATTACCTCATCATAAAACTCTGGGTTTTGCTGGTGATGCAGAACTGCAACGAACGCTTGTCTTGTAAATATTGGACCCCCTGGTCTGCCATAGATGCACTAGGAATGAAACAGAGGAAGAAATTGATGGTTTATACTGACCCTATTTTTAAGATATAATTTCTGAAATATTTAATGTGAGATTTATTTAATGTTCCCCCCTTTTTTAAATTCTTCTACAAGATAAACTAGCAAAGCTTCTCCTTTAATTATGTCTCAATGGATGAAAAAATGCTCAGAAAATATTCTGCAGACTGTTACTCTATTTAGCAACACTTAACAGTAGGGATGTGAAGCACTTTGGTAGGGGTAGGTGAGCCCTATCAGCTTTCAGTCTCAAGTGCTTCACATTCCTACTGTACAACTTCTGGAATGTAACAATAAACACTTTGTGATATATGGAATATATGATAAAAGGATTATTATTTTTTTAGAGATTGATTCTGATCGTACTATGTGAAGGAAGGGGAGACAGCTTTTGTACTAACAGAGCAAAGTTCAAACTCTGCTACGATTGCTTTCTTCAAGGGGGAATTCCTAGTTTTTGCTGATTTCATTTCGTTATTCCTATGATGGATTTAGAACTTGTACTTTCCTTGAACCTGACAACAACTCAATGGGAAGCAACACAGAGATGAGAAATAAACTGAACGTTTTTTAAAAAGTCAGGGTGATGCAATGTGCATAAACTGAGACTTGCTAAATTGCTTTTAACCCTTATTTAGTGCTTCTATATCTCTTAAAACAAAGGTCTTTTTTTAAAAAAATCATGGTATTTCTTACATAATATTGACTACATTAGGAAATTTATTAATAAAAATTAAACAAAGTTCTTTGTATCCACTTTTCCTTATCTTGAAATTCAATTCTAAATACCAAAGAATATCCACATAAAACAAAACAAAAAACCAGCTGTGTTAAAGGGATGTGCATTAACACAAATTATACCACATATCACTGTGAATGTTGCAATTTTTAAAACTTCCTGAAATATTGTTTTTGTTACTATTATTCCTGAAATTTTGTATCTTTAAAGTCTGGGGTCAAATCTTTGTTAAAACACCTAATGGATAGGAAAAGTATATTTCATAAAAGCTGCACCTATTCTGATTTAAAACAGAAAAATCACGGCTCTGCCTTAGTATGAAAATTAACTTTGCAAGCAATTGGTTGATTCTAATTTTAAGCAGCAAACTTCTTAAAGATGGGTTTATATCATTTGTTTATATTTCTACATGAATACGGAAAATAAGTTTAATGTAATACAGAAACCAAATTACTTAGCAGCTATAGTTAACTTGATTTCTCCTTCTGTATTATTTCACTGAAAAACAATTCCAACTTCATTTGTTTCTTTGGAAAAAGCAGAGTAGAGTTGTGCATATAAACACAGCTTGTTCTTATAGCCAGATTTACTTATGTAAAACACAGAATATAATATTAAGGAACCTGGGGATGTATCTTAGATATTGCCCCATCATTTGTACCGTAAATTGATATTAATGACTGAACAACCACAAGGCAGATCAACGTACCTTCAGAGGCCGAGAATCTTCATCATCAGAATCTCTGAATTCTATGCACACTGCAATATTTCTTGCCTAAAAAGAGCACAGAAAGTGTTTAGTTGCTTTTATTTTCTAGTACATAAATCACATTTCCAACAATGAGGCACACTTTTACTCAGATTCAATTTAGCTTTGAATCTGAACATAATTAACAGGCCTACTAACTCACCTTTGCAAATGACTTCTGACTGTCATATTTCAAGTGTTTTGGATAAACATAAAGGTGATTGTTGTAGATGGTGAAAGGCTGAGTATGTTTTGGTATACAGGGAACAAATTCCTCTACTTCAAACGTTACTACTGCCTTGGAACTGTTTTCAAACTGTATCATGGGAATGTATGATGAATTAACAAAATCTGAAAATATATTAAAATTGAATTTAAAAATGGAAGAACAAAGCCATTGTACCCACTTTTTACAATAAGTTTTTCAATACTTACTTGGTACGTCTGAAGAAACATTATCAATTGTTATGTCTAGGTTTCCTAAAATAACTGGCAACTTAGACATCTTTTCAGGCCTACAAGAAAAACAAAAAAACAAATATGACCTAGCAGAAAAATAGTTGACACAATCTATTCAATCTCAATTATGAAAAAATACAAACCATGCTTCAAAAGAGAATAGTTCAGCTCATTTCAAATTAACACAACAGTCAGTGGGCTCTAGGTCACCCTGAAAGAAAGGATGTTGCTCTACCTCATAGATTGCTGGTACACCACTTTCCCATCCCTCCCAAAGGTCCCCAGAGAATCAGAGGGTCTGTGCAACATAGAGCATTATATCTTGTCTGCAGGCGTGGTATTCAGTTACCTTACCTACCGGTTTGCAAATGTGAGCACAGACTTCACCGCATATGCTTTTGGTGAAAAAGGAGCCTAAATGGGATGCCATAGAGGTGGCAGGTGGGCAGGGCCACCCACGATTTCCGCTACCAGTTTGGGTGAACCAGTCCGAACTGGTAGAATACCACCTCTGCTTGCATGATATAACAGAGCTCAGAAGCAGAATAAAATAGAGGAATCGCCCATCATTTGCAAAAAGTTCCTGATTTATGCTTTTCTCTCCTTCTGCCTGCCTACAATGCATGGTAAGTCCTTGACCTTTGGAGAGGCTTTTCAGAAGGCGAACAATGGAAAAAGATAATCTATCAGACGCTGAACTGTCCTCTGTGGGAGATGCTCCAGAGGAAGCTGCATTGAGATTGGACTAAATCTCTAAAATTCCTCCCAAATCTACAGTTCCATGAAATATATTTACATTTTGTATTCTAGAGAAACAATTGTTGCTCCTATTGACATAATGTACAATGCAACTTTATATCTGCAAACCCTAATCCATGCAGCTTTTAATTCAAAACATCCACAAAATGTTTTCACAAATTCCACAAATATTCACATCCACAAAATTACCTTTGCAATTTTTAGTCTTTTCAAAAAATGTCTTCTGCTACAAAATTTTTACTTAACCTGTACATTTGCAAGATTTTCACTTTTTTTCTACATATAACTTTTTATAGTTTCAGACAACAGGAATTCCCTTTAATTGTTTTTTGTTTTCATTTTACCAGTAAGAAAAATGTATAAATAGTATCCACTTTTGCAAGGAAACCTTCAGAACTCATGAGTCAGGTTTCAAACTCCTAATTCTTCCGGAGTGTTCTTAATACATCAAAACTAAATGTAAAATTGTTGATTTTAAACTTTTAAATCATGGAATACATATCGGTACTAAAGACTTCTGACATGTACAATTAAAGCCACTTTTGAATAAATAACATAGACAAAATCAGTTATAAATTAATTAAAAAACCATCTAAAACACAAAAGAGGAAGATCTGGAGACCTTTGATTTAATCATTTCACAACTCTTTTATAACTTTGCGGTCATAACTCTATTGGAGACAAAAAAAGAGCACCACGCCATTCCAGGAAACACATGTGACACAAATCCGTTTATTACCTTTTTATATGAATAATTTCATTTCTATATAAAACAAAGCACTCACTTTCTGAAATCAGCTAACAATTTAAGCATGTCTTCATTTGAAAGTTTGTTACTATCTTGTTTGTAAAGTGTAGAAAATCTTGCACCTTTGTCCAGTGTTCCAGCCATATCCTTAAACAGTGTTCTGAAATACAAGTTTTTAAAATGAAAACTGTATGCATAAACATCATACTGGGAAAACAAAAACGAAAGGCAGTTTAGATAGTATTAACATATTAACTTATTGAAATTAATATATAAATGGTTGAACAAAAAGCAGGACATTCCAATTCTAGCTAATTTGTCATAAATGTTGGCTTGATGCCAAACTAGAAATACATTTAAACCATAACTTTTATTCAAGGAGAAGGAGCACTCACATAAATTAATTTACCAATTAATCTGAAATACAAATCAGAGAATTCTTGGATTAAATCAAGAATACTATCATGCATTACCTGGCTGCCCATGCAAATGGCATTCTGTATTGCCCTAGTCGTTGGCAAGCCTGTTTTGCATTTTTCAGAACCTTTTGAGCAACCTGTAAGCAATCAGAAAAAGAACTGAATTACAACTCAAAATCCCCCCCCCCCGGCATACATTTCTTACTGAAACTGAAATTTCTTCCATTCCCTTTCTTAACTTACCAAACTACTATGGGCTTCAAACTCTCAATCAAATTCAGCATTAACTCCTAAAATTTATCTAAAAGTTGTTTCTTGTGTTTTTTTATTACAATTAAGTTCTCGTTTTCCAAACAAATCTTAAAACGAAAGCAATATTTGAGACTCCTTAACAGATTATTCAATAGTTGATTTTACTATCTTTTTTAGTCTGCTTAGGCAATTCGTAAACAAATTTCAGCACAGAAGATGCAACTTTGCCTACAATCTGTATTTGCCCATGTCTGCCGAGCATAGGAATTAAACTGATATCAAAATCTGGCAATTATGTCTTAAATATGTGCACATTTCAATTTGATGATGTTGAGTTACAGGTTATAGACAAATTCAGAAATTAGAAGTATCCAACAATCAAAGCAAATACCTTAGAAGAATCGGAACTTTTCATATATGGCTCAGCACAATGAGTTATGCTCCCTTGTAGGACTTTTTCTATTCTAGCCACTAGAAATATATCCGGGTGTGGACACGTTACTGAGAATATTCCCTAAAAACAAATTAATTGCTTCATTAATTCTTAAATATAAATATGGGACACTGATTTGTAATGAAACATTATTTTTTCCTTACTTGTTTTGGATATTGTAGTATAACATCTGAAATAATATCCTGAATTGGATGTAAGCAATCACTACTCCCATTCAACAACTCCTGTGATGTATTAGCTAGCATATGTCTCACTGTACTATGATTCAAATCAACATGGAAATCTGATGAAATCTTCCGATTATGCTTAACATCGAATAGTGACAGTGAGATGAAAAATGGCTCTACCTGGACATTAAAAAAGAAGACATGAACATAATAATGGTAAATGCTAATTTACTTGTAACAATAGATAGTGTAGAACTGCTGGTAGAAAACTCAGTTCTTATATTGTGTTTACATGATGAATGCCATTAAACAGAATAGTACCTTATGTTCCATATATTCTTGTCTAGATCATACTAGTACTATATATAGTCAAATGTTTAATACTACAATATTATACATCTTAAAAATTTACATGTGCACCTTACTTAAACAAAACATACTCTGTTCTATATAACTTCCAATTCCTTGCTGTGGTAAAACCTTGTCATTTAATTTGTTCTTTGACTGGATTGTAAAACTCTGATAAGTTTTCAGATGAAATTATATTTTCTCAGAATGTTTTGAGTCTTAAACATCAAAATATATATTAGATATTATTCTTTATACATTACATATGAAAGATTCGCCATTACATCTTACATTTGTTGTTGGTCCCTCTTCATTTTCAGCCACGCAGCTTTGTAGATTGAAAGATAAGTCATTGCACTTTACCAGGATTTTCTTCCCAAACTTCTCTTCAAATGGCTTAACTTCGGGCTCAATACCAGAGAAGTCTAGTTTCTTTAAAAGAAACAAATGTTGAAAATAACCTTTAAATATCAACATTATATAAAGGCTTTGGATTTTTCCCTGCAATCAGTCTTACCTGTGCATCTGGGTCCAGTGCAAAGAGCTTAACCCTGCTTTCATTTCTGAATTTGAATTCAGAATCTCTGCAAGTCTACAAAATAAAATAGCATTTTATAATGTGAATGTATGGTCACTTCGACTTCGTGGTACTGCATTGTTTTAAATGTAAAAATAATAAAAATATATTTTTAAAAACATAAAAAACATAAAAAAATAAAATAGCATTTTTAAATTAATAAATATTTTTTCCTTCTTTCTTTAAGGTAATTTCTCCTAGATTAAATGGATCTCTCAAGAACAGATGTTAAATCCTCTGTAGGACTAGTTATGATAACAGTATGAGACGACACAGGCCAATTTGGACTCTAGAATGTTTCTCACAGGTATGGCGATCTGATTTTAATTTTAAACCTTTCTTCCAATTTATCATCTCTAGGCATATTTCTATGTTCTTGGGATCATTTAATCATTCAAATCAATTAATTATAACATTTGTTTCATGAATAGCACATTAATATATTGATGTGTAAAAAGGAAAAAATAAAGAATTGCAAATAAAACCAGCGCAGTCACTTTTCTCCTTATTTCTTTCTTTATTTGTAACCTTCTCAGGCTTTACATTTCCACTTTTATTCATCCCTTTCCTTTAATTGAAGGACGAACTTGTAGACAATGTGGAAAGTAAAGGCCAAGTAGTCCCGATGGTGGTAGAAACACTTGGAGCTTTAACTCCTGAGCTGGGAGACTGGCTCCAACGAATCCCAGGAGCAACTTCAGAGCTTTCAATCCAAAAGAATGCAGTGCTAGGAACAGCTAAGATGCTGCATAGAACCCTTAAACTCACAGGCCTCTGGTGGAGGACCCAAAATTGAGGAAGACACAAACCCTCCATAAGTGTGAGAAGGCATTTTTTCATACACACACATATGTATACATGTGTGTGTGTCTTTATATATGTATGAGTATTTATGTGTGTGTGCGTATAATGTAAACATGTGTATATGTATATGTCTGTGTGTATTTTTGTTTATAAACACACATATACACAATACAGAAAGAGAAGATTGATGATGCGTAGTAGGAAAGGAACAACACAGTAAGCATACACTAACAGATCCAGTCTGAAGTATAAAAATATGGCAATTCTTTAATATGCTACGGAAATATATTTCATTCTGCACTCTTTTACCAAAATAGAATCTATTTCTGTAAATTCTACATTTTACTTGCTTTTGTAGTCAAATATAACCTTTCTGACCAACTTTATTTCCTGTCTATAATTATTTTGGTTCGGAAAAAGAAGATGATGACATTGGTAGAGAAGCCTTCAGTATACCAAGAATGGGATGGCAAGTATCTCTTGCAAAGATTTATCATGGAACAGAACAGGTGATCCTGTCATGAGTAGCCAACTTTAAAAAATGAAGGAAGACAGCATCTCCGTAGAGAAATACAATTGCCAAACCATTCTGTAGTGTTTGTTTCTACAGAAATATATAAAACAGACTGATGCCAAGAGACAGCATAATTCACAAGGGCACTTATATTTTGAAACCATCCAGAGATTAAACAAAATTAATCTTACTGTAAATAGCAACAAAAAGTGCACAGTTCAGAAGACAGGGAAAATAGTACCTAAGAAAAACATAAGCCAAAATAGCTGCTGGATCTTAAGGAAACAGGAAGCCACATTTGAGGCACCAAGATTAGATATAATAAGCAGGTGTTCTGAACCTCAAGGGACAGTCAAATCCCAGTCACTTTCTAGAGTGCAACATTTCCTCTTTCACACTGTACTTTAACTGAATTTAGAAAGAAATAGTTTTGAATACATCTCATAAGTATGTATTTAGCTTCATGTGCATCAGTGGCTAATGCTATATACCATACACAACCATCCCAACATCACACACAAATCCCATTTTGCTTTTAATGACCATAAAAGACATTTCTAGAATGAAAAGTATGATGTGACTTCAATTAATTTAAACTTCACCTTGTAGAAAATTGCTTACTTTCTTTCCCAGTCCCAGAAAAAATGTTGGCATTCAGTCTCAAATGTTTTTTAAGGCTGTCCTTTATTGATATAAGTGTAATGTCCCAATACATGATAATATTCTATCAAAAAATATGTCCTAATTCTTACATTGGATTTTGAGATGTAGTGCAGATGTTTACCTGATCTAAGCAGAATGTTCAAGGGGCAAAAAGCACACAGCACATTGCAAAGAATAGAAGTTTTTTAAACAGAGAGCCAAATAGGAAAAAACTTTCTGGCAAGAAGAATTAATCTGTTAGTAACAAGTTAAGATAAAACAAATAAGAACAAAAATATTGAGTAAAGAATGGAGATGAAATTCCAGGCAAGTGTCTGCATAGTGGGCACAATACAAAATAATCAGTGGTGAAATTCAAATTATTTACTACTGGTTCTGTGGGCGTGGCTTGGTGGGCATGGCAAGAGAAGCATACTGCAAAATCTCCATTCCCATCCTACTCCTGGGGAAAGGATACTGCAAAATCTTTAAACTCACCCAACTACTGGGGGAAGGATACTGCAAAATCCCAATTCCCTCCCCACTCCTGGGGAAAGGATACTGCAAAATCTCCATTCCCACCCTACTCCTGGGGGAAGGATACTGCAAAATCTCCATTCCCACCTCACCTGGGGCCAGCCAGAGGTGGTATTTGCCGGTTCTCCGAACTACTCAAATTTTGCCCTACCAGTTCTCCAGAACCAATCAGAACCCACTGAATTTCATTCCTGAAAATAATATGTTCCATTGTTTCAATTATTCCTCCACCACATGGACCCAATCTCCATTCCAAAGGGATCTTTTGGTATCTCCTTTTAGTAACAGCTTGCTTTGAGAAAAAAAGGAGCTCAAGGCACACAGAATACTACCCAGAATCCTGCTTAATGTAATTCTGGGAGTTGAAGTCCACACGTCGTAAAGTTGACAAGGTTGAGAAATACTGAACTAAATTAAGAAGGAGAAGCTAAGGCATTTTAACTATGGATCTGTCTGTTAAAGATATCATTTCTTCAAGTCTGATTCTCAACATACTGCTTTAGTATATCAATCTTATGGCTAAATCAGACTATTTATTTTCTTGAGTGTAATTTTTGAAAATGTAATACACAAACTTAAAAGCCAATGAAACTATTCTGACAGAAATATTTACTACCATTAATTTTTACTCTATCAAGGATTAGATCTACTTAAAGAAGTCTCTGATCGCTTTACAATGATCAGTATTAACTTTTTCTCTATATCTGCCTACCAAGAAAATCTAGCTTGAAATTATGAAAAAACGAAACCCAACTCAAAAAGCATTATTTCTAGCAGCCTAAGTTTTATTTAACAACTATACTTGAAAAACAAACCTTCCTGGTAAGTATCAACATTCTTTCCTTAGTAAGGTGCATAAGCTAGCAATTTGCAAAATTCACTTGATTTAGAAACAAAGCATTCCAAAGAACTATGGAATGTTCTATTCCTGACCTTGATCATGACAAACACCTTTGGATCCTGCTGTCTTAAGTGACTGTTTAGTGACATCTTCCATCCTTCAAACCAGAAACAATCTGATGTGTTCAGAGAGTAGTTTGAATACCGTATTTTTTGGAGTATAAGACGGACCTTTTTTTCTCAAAAAAGAGGCTGAAAATCTGGATGCGTCTTATACACCGAATACAGCATTTTTTGCCTCCCAAAGCCCCGCCCCTTCACCAAAATGGCTGTGCATACCTTTATGGAGCTTTCAGAGAGCTCCTGCGGGCTGGGAAGGACAGAAATGAGCACAAAAGGGGGCGTTTTTTGCCCCCTCAGCCCCCAGCAGCACTCTTAAGTCTCCATAAGGCTATATATGCAATTGTTTTGATGAAAAACAGGGCATTTTTTTGCTCGTTTCTGCCCCCCACCTCCCAATAGCATTCTGCAAGCCCCCCAAGGCTATTCATGCCTTTAAAAAGGGGGGGGGTTCATGAAAAACGGGCCATTTTTGGGAGGTTTGCAGAGTGCAAATACTTTTTTCCCCTTTTGGAAAGCTCTTTAACTGATTGATGAGAATTCCATTGATCAAGTGCTGTGCCAACAGAAACAAAGTCTTAGGTGCTGCAGATTATCAGCGATTTCCTTCTCCAGCACGTGGATAAATATACCTGGAAACATCTACCTACCTACCTACTCTCTCTCTCTCTCTCTCCTTACCTACATACTGTATTTCTCCCCCCTCTCTTTCCCTCTCTCTCCCTACCTACCTATCTATTCTCTCTCTTTCCCTACCTAACTACTGTATTTCTCTCTCTCTCTTTCTATTTCTCTCTCTCTATCCCTTTATCTACCTACCAAGCTACCTACCTACCTAACTACTCTCTCTCTCTCTCCCTACCTACCTACTGCATTTCTCTCTCTTTCTCTCCCTCTCTATCCCTCTATCTACCTACCTACTTTTTTAAAAATTTGCCTCTTCAAAACCTTGGTGCGTCTTATACTCCGGTGCATCTTATACTCTGAAAAATACGGTATTTAAAAAAAAACTATTGCATCAAGAATACTATGCCCTGGATACCTTAAAACCATTTTTAATTTAAAGTATTTAATTCTATAAATCAATAAACTGCTGCTGGGATGATAGTTTGATACAGGTCAGAAGTGCAATTGTACATTCCGGGATGTTCTATTTTTGCAGATTCTATTACATACTGTCATTGAATTTCATACTTTAAAACAAAACAAAAAAGGCACAAGACTACCTTTGCAATTTCAGGAAGGTAAGCATCTAAACCAGATGAGCTGTCTATCCTGTTTTGTTCATCTTCTGGAAATTAAAAAAAAAGTTATTGAAGTCCCTTGATCACTATAGAAAAATGTTACAACCAAGAATCTCACAAGCTTTTCAAAGTTCTGGAAATTGCTAATCTTTCACACTATTCAGGAACAAAATTCAAACAGGAAATTTTCTATTTTCTGTTAGGTACTGTTTGATGTTGGACTGCATCTAATTTGTCACTATCAGAGGAATTCTGGCACTTGTAAGAATATCCACCAACTGATTCTTAAGAACCACAGTAGCCTGATTTGTAAAAACTAAATGAGATTCATTGTGGGTATATTATTTATATCTATATACAGTATATTATTTTGACAGTAAATGTGTCTTGTTTTTAATAATACATATCTGTATAGGCTACCAAAAACAGAGGAAAGTACCATATAAACTCTCTTTTTATGACCCTGCAGTCCCTATTTGGGGTAGAATCAGGGCGACTAGATGAAAATGAGCATTTACCTTCTGACACCTACACAGAGTTCACAGCAGATATTTTTTCTTTGTGCCCTTGAAGAGAAACATCTGCTGTTACCTAGGATTGAACCCTCAACCAAGTGGAATGTGAGCATTTTCACCATTAGGCTACCATGCCACTGTTTGAAAATTACTTAACCAATTATTAATTATTAATTATAGAGAGAAATGTTTCTTTTAGTGAACAGCTTGAAATTAACTTGAAAATAAGCTGTGTTTACCATCATGGGAGTCCTCATATCTCTTTTCTTGCATTGCTGCTTCAAAAGTTAATTGGAGAATTTTGTTTAGAGTTGCAATCCATTCTTCCATTTCTGCTTCACTGTCTGCGGCAAGAAGATAGCTACTCTTGTCCTGCATCTTGAGCTCAAAGGCAAAACGTCGGACTTTATTGTTCTGCAATATAATGAAAAAATGTTAATCTAGCAGCTGCAACATATTTTCTTTTCTCCCTCACCCACTAATTTTGCATTGCTAAAAAGAAACTACCATTTTAGGCCTAAAATAGTGAACTGACGAAACATGTTCAGTCTGAATGAATGAATGAATGAATGAATGAATGAATGAATGAATGAATGAATGAATAATGGACAGACTGAACAATATGATTAATTGTGGGCAGGGTTTAATTTCTTGTGTAAACATCTATTGTTTTCTATTTTTCTATTCTAATTTTTGTGTGTGTGCGCGCGCGTGCGTTTTGTTGATTTTTTTTTACTTTAATATTTTTATTGATTATGCTCCTTTTGTGGGGTATGAGAAGGAAAAAGTGAGACAGTGGCTTTTTATAATATTTGTTAGTTTTTTAGACATAATTTTTAAGATTAAATATAATTAAATGATACAAATACTAAAACCCATTCAAGTATTAACAACCAAATACTTCCCAAATGACAGTTTGTCTATTTAGCTCAGTCTAGCAATGTTAGAACTCCTATTATATTGCCAAAAAAGCGAAAGAAGTCAAAACAGGTCAGACAATTAATAATAATTTGGGAGTTCCATAGATTCAGTCTGAACATGTTGATTACAAGAGATTATGCTACTGTGAACAAAGACTATGAAAAAAGCATTCAATTTTAGGAGTTGGGATAAAAAAACCAAAAACTAAAATATTTTCCATCTTAAGTTCTAGTTTTTCTAATTAACCCATTAGTTTTCCAAAATATTCTGCCTGAGAAGTATTATTAATTTATATAATAATATGGAAGAAGGACCAGTAATGAAGGATGAGAAGAATCTGGTTTGCCAGAAAATGTAAAATAAAATATTGAAGGTTTTCACTTATATTTTGCCCTGATTTTTAAAAAAACTTTGGCATTTTGGTTATTAGCTTAAAATTATAATTAGCAAAATATATTTCCAAGGGGAAAAATTCACATACTGATTGTGTTCACATGGAATATTAAATTATGGTTTAACACTATAAGCAGAACACCCTGAATAATGATGGATCACATTCTTATTTTCTTCTTGCAATTTTGGTAGACTTGAGCAGGACTGGCGTTTAATCTTTTCAATGAATACTAAATGAACACTAAAACCTGCTGTTGAGTTTCTAAATTTTCTGCTGGCTAAAGTCCTGTAATTCAAGATTCTGTAAAAGTGAAAGTAAGCCCTTCTGAACTATTATCCTAAATGTGCCCAAAGGGAAATGGAGATCATGATAATGAAGCTTTATTCAAGCTTATTTGCTTCTAAATATAATGCTCAACCAGAGTTTAGTGTTACATGAACCCGAAACAATTCCATATTAAACTATTAAACAGAGAGAAAAAAATATGAAGGCAATTAATAAGAGTACATAATTCCAGGTTTGTTACATTAAGAACAAGTTCCCAACATTCTCCATGCTTAGCACGCAAATGAAAAATGGCCCTGTTTTTTGTCCTTTCTGGTGAGAAGATACTTTTTCAGTCTGTGTCAGTATTTTTCAAACTTGGCAACCCACTAGATACTCAAAAGGATAAATTTCATAGCAACAAATGTAGTAGCATCAATTCCTGAATATCTTTAAAACAAAACATGATTCTAGATCTATTAATTCAACATTTAAACTGGAACTGTTTAATTATTATTAAGCTCTTATGACAACACAGTATTTTATAATACTTGCTCACTAAAAACATAAAGCAGCTGTAATAAAAAAAAATATTTATATTATCCAAAGGACCAATAGTGCAATTCTAGTAAATTGATTTAAAAATATTCCATTGCTTTTAATGAATTTACACTCTATATGAGTAAATAAGTATAAAGGTGTAATTCCAAAGCACTAGAAGAAATACTATAGGTTTCTGCAAGAGTTACAAATCATACCAAGCAGTATAGTTCTCTACTTACTTGAACAACGCCCATACAGGAATCCAAAAAAATTGAGCCTTTTGGTTCTTTTGATATTTTTTCATCTTTGTAGAAATTAAGATTATAGGATCCATCACCAAGTTGAAGGAGATGAAAAAATCTTCGTTTGAATGACTAATTTGTGAAAAATGAAATTATATTAAAAACAAAAGCAATGTGACCCAGGGATCAAAAACATCTCTTTAATTGCACCCACAACACTGCAATTTTTGTAATACATTAAGAAGTATTGCTGAGATCAGTCGTCAATGTGCACTTGTACATTATACAGCATCACAGTATTTTATGAGTAGACAAAAAATATACATACCCGCATAGTAACACTGATTGCACTGTTCATGTTCCCTTTATATAACCATCCTTGTTTTGTAAGGCCACCCTTTTGAGATCCCAGAGATGCTGCATCCTATTAAAAAATAAACTTCACATAAACTCATGAATAAAACGGTTTTGTAAAAAAATTAAATCTATAAATAATAAGCAATAAGCAAGTGCTTTGATGTAACTTAAATATGAAGAAAGGTTCCCTATGCTATAAGACTATTGAGCATAAATCAATGTTGCCCGTAGAAGAGAAATGTAGTATTGTAACACTCATTCATTATGGTTTCCCTTCCATTGTGCATTATTAGATCATAAAAGCTAATGTAAATTCTAAAAATGCTGCTAAATTTCATTAATGAAATGAATAACCTACTTCTGTTGTCAGGTTGAAACACAGCAAAGAATTGAGTTAAGCACACTATTTAGCAATTTTGTAGATGATTTCAGAATGCTTTATCTTTTAGGAAAAAGTCTAAATACCTTGGTCAGAACAGCCAGGCAATCTCTCTATTAAGGATTGGATTAGCTGGGATTAATGTTCCTGTCCAGTCTATTAGGGTATCCCATCTGTTATATGGCCCTTTGGAATAACAGCTCCCCTCAAGATTAAATTGTCCCAATGCTGTTGGCCTTTCACAAGGCCTCAGATATGGTTTTGTCACCAAGCACAGAGGTACAGATACAATACGTGGTAGAATGCAATAGTTTGATTTGCTTGTTGTAGCTTTTTTTTAACCTTAAATGGGTGTTATTGTCTTTTTTTGTTATATGTTGTTATTGTGCTTTTAACTATTGTTAGCTACCCAGATGCATGAATCTCAGATTGAAATTAGAAGTACATAAATCAAATATAAAAGTTTTAGCTTGACAATAAAAAGTATGTAAAAGAAGAGGTTAAAAGACTCTCCTAGAGATAAATCTATAACCTGGTCTCTAAACAAAGCTGTAAGTTCTTGTAGATCAGCATAAGCAAAAGACCACACTAATAAACCATTAATTCCCAGAGAGTTGGAAGAAGCAAGGCAATGTGCTATTTATCTAAAAAGATTAAGGAAACTAGATTCTTAAGGGGAAAAAAGAAAGGCGAAAGGAACCATATATAAATAGCAATGGTGTTAGATGGTATTAGAGAGAAGAATCTTTCTTAAAATATAGTAATAACTTTTATCTTTTTCTTTGCTATATAAATTCATCCTGTTTTTTAAGGATTATGAATTAATATACTTTTGAATATTTTAATAATTTTTAAATTCTTGTTTTATTTATTTATTGGGTTTATATGCAACAAACTGATACACATTTATAGTAGCTTAACCATACCATAAAGATAAGATAATTTATGGTGTGTGTATTTTAAATCTAAATATTTTAATGCTGCATACCATCTGGAAATACACAGAATTATAAGGTGGTTTTAAAATAATAAACAAAATATGTAAGGAACAATCATGCACTTCCATCTATAAACAAATGAAAATTCTTATGCCTAATACAGATCACTGGGGCAAAGTAATATATTATTCAATATATTTTAAAGATTTCAGGATAAAGTTACTTCTTATTAAATATTACATTTTGTTACTCCCAAAGGGGCCTATATCATAACAACAATTTAAAAATGAACTGAAGTAAAATAATACAAAAAAATAGACTTGCCTCATCCTTATCTGCTTCTTCATCAACTTCAAAAACATGAACTGGAAGCTTTTCTAATCTATTCCCTTTGCTAAAAAAAAGATACCATAACACACAACAATTATTACAATAATCCATACTGCAACAATTTACCAATGTGTGAAAGTATGATTAAAATATAGAGTACACAAGAAGTTCTAAAAGAGAATGTCTACATGAAGGTAATAAGTTTTGATTTGGCTTTTTTTTCTTACTTTTGTATCTTGAATGCAAATGTAGCTAAGATTTGGAAACAATTTGAAATTTGTTTTACAAAAGTAGGGAAAATCATTTAAATGCCTGTTAAACTAATTGTTGACATACTTGTTATAATCTATCAATATTAAATTTTCACCTGCTAAAAATGAGGACTTGCAACATATTATTTCTTCATTGAACTGACATTCCGCTTTTATAGGAAAATGGTTAACACAGCCTCATACATTTCTGCAGCTATCTGTATACAATACTGATATAGTATTCATATTTCACATTTCAATTAAATTAATTAAAAATTAATTATGAGTTATGACTAAGCATCATGGCTCTTGCTTCTCCTGAAACCATGAAAACAAACTGCAAATGCTCTTTCCATGTTGTTTTTATGAAACCCATATTGCAGGACTGAATCATCCTAAGAAATTAAACCTGGAAGTCAGGAAAAAACATGTTTCCAAATCTGGCATGTTAGAACTGAAATGAAAGTAATTTCCAAGAATCTACCACATTAAATATTAAAAGTTAACAATTATTAGTAAGCATTAATATAAAGCTTAAGACAAAAATTACTTACTTTGGAAGTTGCCGAAAGTCTCCTGAGTAATCTTCATGTTTGAAATTGACAACATGCCAGTCAGAGATGTATGTCTTAATACACTTTAAATCAGGACAAAAATTAAACTTTAGGTCACTTCTTTATGCAACAATACATTTATCTTAGTAATTTGAGTATTTGATCTGATCACACTGCTATATCTATGCTAATTAGAGAAAAAAAATGCATTACAGGAAGTGGACAGGATTTTTGTCGATCTTAATTCAACTACTTAGATCCCTGCCCCTCCTGGCTGGTCAGAGCTACCCAGGATAGGATGTGAGATTGGGTGGGTGGTAAACTCTTCCTTGAGAGAGGGGGAATCCCTCTGCTTCTGAACAAAGTGGTGGAGCATTCCCTTCTCAAGAGACATTGCTTGGTTTGGACAACATCCAGTTTCCAACCTTTCCTTTTTAGGGAAGATTCTGGAAAGGTCGTGGTCACACTTCAGCTTTAAAGGACTCTGGATGAAACAGGTTAATGGACTCCCTTCAATCAAGATTCAGGCCAAAATAAGGGAACAGAGATAGCATTGACTATGCTCTTGGATGACCTCTGGAAGGCAAGAATGATGGGGGTAGACCATTCTTGTTTTTCTTGATCTCTCAGTGGCTTCCAATGCCTTTTTCATAGTATACATGGGGGGGGGGCTATTGTGCCCACTTCACCATTTGTTTGGAGTGACCAAAATTGAAACTTTATGCCTTTTTTTTCTCTTTTTAGTTAAGGTTGTCGTCCCCCCCCCCCCCCCCCCATTGTGGCTTAATTTCTGTGATTTTATGCCATTACTATGATTCATTTCAGGGTAGGAATTGCTAGATTTCTCACTTAATATAATCCTGATGGTGGTATATGAAGATGCAGAGACATCCTTTACAAAGCATGCCAATCAGACTTGGCTGCCATACTTGAAGGTATGTTCCTGGACAGTTATTCACCTTTTTTTTTCAATCCGGGTTGATTTCTAAGCCAAATAACAACTCCCAAATTTCAGAGCAGCCCTAATTCTGGCAAGAGTTAATGCCTCCACCCCCAAGGAGCTATTCTTCAGGGGAAATTAATCCCATTTGAATAACACTTTACCCCTGTATTGAAGGAGTTCTATTTTTACATTGCTCTTCTTACAAAGATGTCCCCTTTGGAGCTAACAGTAGCCTATTTATCCAGGTTGCCAAGCCCTCCAGTTCCATTTTATTTACGGTTATTATCTGTTTACTGTGATTTTATTTCTCTTAACTTGGCTACGTTTTATTTTACTATTTGAAAAATATCCTAAACTTTAACTTCTCCAATACTGTACATGTTTTACTGTGGTTTTTGTTTGCTATCTTACCATTTGTCTTCCTTTTCTTTGTTCTTTGGAGCTGATCATCAGCTGCAATAAAGTACTACCACTAATACTATTAAATTATGATGAATGACAAAAAATTATTCATTCCTATTCAAGTCAGAAGCAACATACTCTTTAACTAAACCATACCTGTAGAGTTTATTCTGGCATTCAATTTTCTATAACATAATGGAGATATTTTCTAAGAAACAGAGTATCTTGGAGAAAGGAGAATGGTACTGCAATCTGCCTATAGGTCTGTACTACTGTATGAATGAAGAAGTCGTCTGCCAGAGTGATTTAAAGAGACGTAATTGTGAACAATTGACAGCAATAAATGAGTGCAGAAACTGACTTGCTCAATCATCTAGCAATTTAATTGGACTGAATTTAGAATGGAGAGACGACTGGATTTGGATTGATACAGATATAGCATGCGAGGTTTCAAAATGTATCCTCCATGAGGAATTTAGAAGAGGAAAATCTCCATTTCTATTGTCCAAAATCTCTCTCGCTAAAAAACAAAGAGGTAAAGTAATATGCTCAGGTTCAAGATGTAACTATTTTGTTCTATATTTATTAAACAAACAAAACATTATTTTCTTTTCCTCTTTCTTTGTTCCAGAAATACTAACAAAGTAAAGCATACTGTTCAGAATGATAAAACAGCCTATTTCTTAAATATCCAGCATACTCCAAGCAGCTAGTTTGATAAAAAATTTTACAAAACTCCAAACAGCTTCTAAAGTCTTACTGAATAGTACTTTGAGACTGCTACTCTAGCCAGCTGGAGCGCTGAGTAAAGGGTGGAGATGAATCGGAACACTTTATTGTTGTTCTGACTGGTTACAATAACAAAGCAAATTGTAATATAGACTTAAGTAACTAGGCATACCACCTCTGGGCTGCAGATGAGCTCCAGATGTCTAAGAGATATAAAAAACCTGATGCTATCTAATGACTATTCAGATTTTTGTAGCCCAGAAGTGGCGTATGTTAGAAAGATTTTAAAAAAAGATTACCTCTGTTACAAATAAGCTGTAAGCTTCTTTCTCTGCATTCTCTGGAATTGTAGAACATATATACTGGTGTTGTCGTTTCAATACTGCAGTCTTTAACGAAAAAAATACAATCAATAAGAACTTTATTTGCAGGAATAGGGTTTAGCCCTTATAGTTCTAACGTATAAAAAAGGTAGCCAGCATATTTCTGCCAATTAGCATCCCATAATAAAAACTATTAAGTGACTCTGGACCCATCATTATCTTTCAGCCCAACCACATCAAAGAATTGCTATTATGGGGAAAATGGGAGGAGGAAGGAATGTTTGGTATGTTTCCTGCCTTGAGTTATTTATAAAAATAATAAAGATGGAATTTTAAAAAATTAAAAAAAAAATATTAGTTGAAAGGCAAGCACGTTCTAGAGCTGGACACATGGTATTCAATCATGCTCAGATTTCTAGTATCTAGTTGGGAAAATATACTTCTAGACCAGGGTTTGCTAAAATCTTCAAATATTTTGGGGTAGTGTTTAATGTAACCAGTAAATACAGGGCAGATATATAGTCTGCTGTCTAAAATGCATATAAGTCACAATAACACTATATAGTAGTCCTTTGATTGCACTAGAGATGCATCATCCACACCTATTGTCCTAAAAGTATTCTCAGGTAGAGTATACTTCCTTCACTCCTTCATTCAATAAAAATATTGAAATTTTGCTGCAGTGTGATGACATCCACGAAAATCCTCAGAATTCTTCAACAACATTCTTTATTAATTAATATCCTTTAGCTATGCATGTATTGACTTATCTTATAATCAGCATGTCACAACTGCTATTGTCAAATGCTTTGTTGAGATCAAGGTCTATTATGTCCACCTCATTTCCATATTCTAAGTAACAAAGCAATCTGATCAAAGTCCAAGATAAAGTTAATTTGGAAACAATTGCTCATGCTGGCAATTACCACACTGTTTTTGAAATCTGCTCACTTGCTTTATAATCTGCTCTAGAATCTTTCCAGGTATTGATGTCAGGCAGACGTGACTCTTAATTCCTCAGATTCCCTCCTTATTGTTTTTAAAGATTGGAATATTTGCACTTAGTTCTCCAGGATTTCCTAAATATGATGCACAAAGGTTTATCGAGATATCAACTAAGGCCTAGGAAGCAATTCATCTGCCCTGGACATTTAAACTCAAAATCAGTAGGAATCTCTGAGTAGTTTTTTTAAAAGTTTTATCTTTATTCCTATTTTTCTCATTGTTGTCATAATTTCCTCATAGAACTAAATTTTATATTGGAGAAAATGGAACTAATATAAAAATAAATTTTGCTTTGTAGCATTTTGCAGCAGTAGATAGACAGAGTATCTATCTGTCTTTTTTTTTCTTTTAATACCTTTCAGCATCTTTAGTGCATTTTCAGTTTTTGCTTTCCTGACATCCCTGTTTCAGTTCTGGTCTATATTTCCAGTTGCAATGTATGGCTGTGAAAGTTGGCCCATAAGAAAGGCTGAGTGCCAAAAAATTGAAGCCTTTGAACTATGGTGCTGGAGAAGATTCCTGTGAGTCCCTTGGACTGCAAGGCGATCAAACCGGTCAATCGTAGAGGAGATCAACCCTGACTGCTCTTTAGAAGGCCAGATCCTGGAGATGAAACTCAAATACTTTGGCCACCTAATGAGAAGAAAGGACTCACTGGAGAAGAGCCTAATGCTGGGAAACATTGTGGGCAAAAGAAGAAGGGGATGACAGATAATGAGGTGGCTGGATGAAGTCACTGAGGCTGTAGGTGTGGGCTTAAATGGACTCCAGAGGAGGGTAGAGGATAGGAAGGTCTGGAGGAACATTGTCCATGGGGTCACAATGGGTCGGACATGACTTTGCAACTAACAACAACAAATGTATTTGTTTTGGTGACCAGGTTTTGTTTCCGTATTCTTTGTGCATATTTTTAAAAAATCAGAACATTTTATTTCTTAAGTTTTCTATGTAATTTTTAAAAATATTTTGCACATGGTGATAGTGCAGTTTGATGTTTTCTCAAACGTACTTATATATGTGCATATTTTCTGAGTTTTAAACTAATTCCAATATTTTCAACATAAAGCATGTAAGCATATATTTTGTTCATCAATTTATTCAACAGATATCATTGCATATTTTTGCAGCAGTTAATTTACTATATATCTCCCAATCAAATCTCCTAGTTGAATTCCTATAACATCATTGGTCATACATCAGTTATAAACTTTAAACTATATTATTATAATAATATAATAATAAATGCAAATAATAAATGCAAAGATATTGCCATTATGAATATCTCAGTGTTGATTTCTAAAGCTTTATTGGACAACCTGAAGCTGTTTGGTCAAAATTTCAGAGATATATTTCCTTAACTAAATAAAGAGAATGACCACAGGCGGGCAAAAAAAAGCAATGGGCGTGGGAGTCTTCCGATTTCCTGCTGGCATTCCCATTGATTTTCTTTGTGGGAAGCTGGCAGGGAGTGTTGGAAATAACAATTATGTGACTGCGGGTGATCATAGTGGCATAGCAATGCTGGAGCATCCACAACTTCACCAAATTACAATCTCATGGTGGTAATGGGCCCTAGCTGTTGGATACATTCTTTATGTTAACCCATTTGGGGTACTTTGATTCAAAAATTATTGCCTTATGGTGTATCATTTTGCTTAACAAACATTTTATAGTAATATTATTTGTTCTGAGAAGTATATTTTATATATACACATATACATGTACTCCATGTTTAATAATCATGAGTTTAGTCAATGTTTGAAACTCCAAAAGTGTTGTAAAAAGTAACTTATGATCAGTGCTTGTACTTACATACATGTTCTTTTCATGAGGGCCTTCCAACAACCAAAGCCAATGGGGAAATAGACAGAAGGTTGCACGTAATGCTTACATGATGTCTCACTTAATGACTGTAGGAAATTTGCTTAACAACTGTAACCAGGATTGTTGGACCTGCTGCTGCTAAACAGGACAGTCATGTGTTGTCTCACTTAATGACCACTTTGCTTAGCCATGGAGTTGCCAATCCCAATGTACTTTTCAGTACAAATATTATTACTACAGTAAAAGTATGCAGAATTAAAATATATCGAAATTGTCTTAGCTACAGCTGCCCAGAGTAATTTGGGAGTTGGGCAGCATATAAATTAAATTAATTATAATTTTGGTATCATATTTTTTCTCTCTGAAGAAATCTAAGGCTGTTTTCATATGACAGCTTTTGTCCTAGCACCTTTTTTTTCACTTAACAAATTTGATGCAAAAATAGAAGATTAGAAAACAGACAATTATAAATGGAACATTACAAGATCCATTCTTTACCCCTATTCCCCATCTCTGAAATACTGCATGTAGTAGGTAGAGACACTTCATAATAACAGCGAAATCTAGAAGTATCTTAAGACAATGTTAAATCTGTATTAGAGGTCAATGTTCTGGTAATAAATTCCAAAATGTTTAACTTTTAAAGTACATATGTACTTCCTATTGTTTATAGTCACACCTGTTTCCTGCATTTGATGTGGTTCCTTCCATAAATGTTCAACATATTTTTTATTGGATCTACTAAATATAGTTTTCTCCAAACACACAAGTAAATAGTTCAATGCCTTTAAAAGAGGAACAACCTTCTTTAAAATATGAATTATTTAGGCAAAACCAGTCATATGTAAAAATAAAAAGTTTAATTCTACAATAAATCTGTTTTTTTTAAGTGTTTCCAATTACATTCTTTTCAAAGGCTGAAAACAAATATAATCAGTATATCAAACTATGCATGCCACATAATTTGAGTTGAGCAGCCACGTAAATATATAATTTAATCATCATTCATGTTATATTATTTTATTCTGAAAATGATCATCTTTCCAAATAGAAGTAAAAAAAATGATGTTCTAAATAACATTTCAGATTTTAAATTGTACCATATCAAGACATTTTGAGAATGTCATTCTAGAAAAACTACTCTTTTTTTTAAATCAAGTAATTTCATTAAAAATTACAATTAGAATAAAACTAATACCAATTTGGGGGGAAAGTGCAGAAAAGAAAAAAAAAGAAAAATAGAAGGAAAAATAAAAGAAATGAGTTAAAAAGAAAAAATATATAAAGAAATGACTTCTCACTTCAACACAAGTACAAACAATTTTAGTAACTTATCACATCCTCTTAAAATACAGTAAATGACATCATTTTCCCCTAGTTGATTTCCATCTATAAACAAATCCTTAAAGTATTATCATTTCAATCCTGACGTCCCAAAGAAACTTTTCCAAAAGGCAACTGGACTTTCTAGATTTTTTTTCCTTGAAAAAGGGCGTTGCTTCTTATCTGAGACGCCTCTTCTCATAGGGTGGAGGCAGCATCCAGGCTGGGTTAACTTTCATCCACTCATTGCGAGGACTGAGTCTGGTAAAGTTGTTAAGTCTCGCCTCTGTTGCTAGGCAACCCAGCTTTTTGATGAAGAAAAACTCCAGACCCAGTGCGTCATCCGTCTCAGTCCTTATGTACATATAATCCGGCCATCAACGTGAATATTCCTGCTGAGGTTTCTAATGTAGAGGTCAGTCACATAAGTCAATCATGAACAGCATAATCAATTAAGGACAAAAACGCCCCCTTTTTGAACCAGTTCCATGCAGGGGGGGTGGATGCTGCCTCCATCCTATGAGAAGAGGCGTCTCAGGTAAGAACCAACGCCCTTTCTCCATAATGGTGGAGGCAGCATCCAGGTTGGGACGTACCAAAGCTGTACCTGTCCCAGGGAGGGTCTAAGACTGGTTCGGTGAAGTCTCAGCCCTAACCACTGACTGTAGCATCCTGCGGCCAAAGGCCGCATCTGTAGATGCAAAGGAGTCCAGTTGGTAGTTCTTGATAAAGGCCGACGGAGTGGCCCTAGTTGCGGCCCTGCAAATTTCCTGCAAGGAGGCCTGAGCCGCCCAGGCCACTGAGGTGGCCGCACTCCATGTAGAATGCGTGATAATCCTACCCGGCACCCGTGAGGGTTGGGACTGGTACGCCAAAGAAATGCAGGCCCTCAACCACCTGCCTATGGTAGGAGA